CTCTTTACTGAATCTCAAAAAATGGGGTCTTCAAGCAAAAACTTACCCCCTCTTGTGCCGAACTTCTGAAGAAGTAAAAAAAAAGGTCCTCGCCAAAGTTGCCGGGCCATCCCTATGCCGCTAACGGGCTCCCACTTGTGACCGGGCCCCGGGAATTAGTCCCGGCTACCCCGCTCTTGTCGTCCCTGATTATATGATAAAAAAGGAAAACTTAAATCAACGTTGTGAAATAAGAACAATGGTTTCTGATATTGAAAATTGTCATAAAGCTTAAATATAAGTTTTTTAATAACAATTGCAAAAATATATTTTGTAAATGATTTATCGCGGCACGTAGCGGCAAGTTAGGAAGTTAAAAATATTTTCTCGTGGCCGATTTTTATTTGTATCCCCGCTACTGTAAAACGCCGACGAATAAGTTGTCTTTCTAGCAGGAAGATGGATTACAGGATTACTTCTCTTCTCTGTATAATAAGTTGAGGCGCAGGATTTTTTTATTTGATAAGATTTATGATAATCATACGGAAAAGGGAGATTATTGCGATGATTTGCTTGTTTATTTAAAGAAATTGAAGTGCCTAGGAGGATTTCTCCGTATATTTTTTCCAGGACAGGAAATGGATTTCTAAATGGAGCAGAGGGTTTATGAATTCTTTTTAACCAAATTATTTTAGTAATGTCGGAGGAGAAACAGACGCGATATTAATTTTGAAGACAGAACATTATTTTTTTTTTGTTCAGAATTTGTTTTCACGTTTTTTTTAAGTATCAAAAATGTTTGTTCTCCATTTTATCGAAATGTTAATAAGTATTAGTACCTACGTTATTAATATTTGAAGATTATTCAATTAATAATAACCCATAACTATTTTACAATAATTTTGTTACTTCATTTAATAATGGATCTTAGACACAATTTCCTTTGTTTCAGAAAATCTGAAAAAAAAAGAGTGAAAAACGAGTTGCACTAATGCGCAGTCAGTGGTATCAAAGCATCGATATCGGAATTTATTGAAAGATATTGGTCTTAATTTCCAACAGAACTATAAGAAAAGCGGTGGCAACTAATTACTGTTCTGATCGCTTTCCAAGATTTCCGGTTATTGATAAATTTTCTTTTGGTTTTCTATTCTCTTCCTGGTTTGCAGTTATTATACCAACTTAAATAGAACAGAACACATTTTTGATTATCTTTAATTATTACTGTTAAATGAGTTTTTAAATTTTAAGAATTAGATATAGCATATTCACCAGTTTTACAAAACAATAAATAACTTACCAAAATTAGTATTCAGTAGTAATTTATTGCACTCTAAAACTATACAGTAAAATGAAGATTTTACACTGAACGATATTTGAAATCCAGTCTTCGTTCTGTTTTACTAGCGAAAAGGTCAATAACTCGTTTGTAAAATCTTCAAAATTGTTGAGAAATATTTTTTCAGCTGATAACATTCTCAATGCACTTAATCTTTCTGCTTTCATTGAGTTGCGTAATAAAGTTTTTATTCTCTTTAAAATAGAGGAGCATCTTTCAGTTTCGGATGTTAACATAGATGTTATCACTAAAACTGCCAGTAACTTAATAGTTTCTTGAAAAAATCTTCCTGTATAACTAATGATAAAAGAGGAACGGCTTCAGAAAGGGATTACAATTATTTCTCTTCCATAAAGTAACTGCAGTTCTGTTTTTAGACGATTTTTTTCTAGAATTGGATATAATTTAACTTTGTCCGATTTGACAGGAAAGTTTTTTGGTATTCGATCAAATGTTCTTTCATTAATAATGCGGTAGCTATCAGATGTCCTGTAAAAGTAAATCGAGCCCTGATTTGTTGTATAATCACAAAGTCTTCTATTTTTTTTATTTATTGAAACAGATAGATCGTAACGAGGGTAACGTTGTCTTTTCTGAGGAACAAATTCATCTTCGTTTTCTAAAAGCTCCGAGTTTAGGTGATTAATAATTGTGTTAATTTCATCACACACAATTTGCATCGGAACAGACCAATTATTATTCAAAATTATTAAAATAATCATAACATAATAATTAACCTTAACTGAGATCACAATAATGTCAATAATTAGCTATTTCAAAATTCTATTTAGTTTTATTCTTATATATAACAGACTACCGAATATATTTAATGAATAGCACACAGCAGTCACAACAACTATTTTTTATACTATTTTAATTCTTTAGTTTTTAAACAAATAATCAACTTTTCGTTTGAAAATACGATCTTAGGAAATAAATTGTGTTGATTGTGTCATCTGTCAATATATTCTAATAGAGCTACAAATGTAGCCTGACGCCTAGAAGGCTCTCTCTCAGTTTCTACAATTTTGTAGGTTTAATTGTCAGCAAATAATCATGAATATCAGACAAGTATTCTCCTCGAATTCCCTCACTTACAAATGCACTCATTTCCTTTTTTATTGTCAAACAACTCACACTTACAAGCACCACGCGTTTAAAGTACCTACTCATGCAACAGCGCCGTTATTTTACCAAAATATGCAATCACCGGACCCGGTCCCCGGATCCGTATATTGGTACCAGATCCGTTAAGTGTATATTGATGCCAGATCCGGTTTTTCGGATTGCAATCCCTAATTAAAATATCGACTGAAAACTTTAATTATTTATTAAATTGATCGAAATAAATTGATCGAAAACGATCCATAAATTGATTTGGACTATACAGGCGGTTTCTAGTATGCAGTATCAGTGACGTAGTTATCATAGGGCAGTTCGGTGCGAAGCACCGGGATCCCGGAGGTATTCCGGGACCCGCAGGGGCTCTCTGATAATTATATAATTATTTTATTGTATTCAAATTTTTAATAATTTTAAAAATTCGTGTTTTAAATGCCTAAAAATTATAGCACAAATTACAAAACTTTTTCTATGGAGATTAACAGAGCCTATATGAGATTTCCCTTGTTTTTTATTTCCTTAAATAATAGGAAAAAGTTATGTATAGTGGGACCATGGTATAACTAACTACAGAAAAAATGGAAAGAGAAGGCGTAAGCTACCAATATTAAAACTACCAAGGTGGAACAGAGAGGGCTATAACAAAATGTTTTTTTTTTGATTTTGATTTCAGTAATTTGTTGTTTTTTGAAAGAGTTACTGAGAATTTTTCTATTATTTTTGTAAAATTGTTTCATCTTTTTTATAATTAAGATTTTGTAAAATATTTGCAGTTTAGATTAAAAAATACATTTTGACATTAACTAAATTGCTGTTCCATAGTGTACCACTCCTTGTCACAGTAAGTACCACTGGACGGTTCTTATCGGGACAGGGTGTGTATACTGGGACACCTGACTTTTTCCTTCAACCATAAACATTTTGTTGGTAAAAACCAAATAGTTGGGGTTCGATTCTTGGGACTAGATCAGTTCATGACGAGATATTGAGACCAAACTTGATATATGGCTGTATTTTCCCATAATAAAGTAACAATTTTTCAATAAAACAATTGGTATCTACGATTTCTTTTACATACAAAACAAAAATTTTAAATTTTTTTGATACCTTTTTCGACTTGAATTGTCATAGTTCGGGTGTGGGAGATGCTGGCATTTAAAATTAGTTACAGAGGAGATAAAAAATTCATTTTGGGCGCTTTTCAATTGGACCTGAAAAAAATCTTACCCCCACCGTCCATTAAAGGGAGATGGAGAAAGGTGGCATCCACAAAAAATTAAGTTACAACTTCGATCAAAATTTTTTCAGTTCAAAGATAAGAAATTTTTGGACAAAAACGTTGTAAATCAGGTCTATTATAAATGTGTTAAAAATATATTTTTATCTCATCTTTAACTATTTTTATATGCCAACCCCACACCTGAACTATGAGGATTCAGGTCCAAACAAATTGAAATTTTTGGTTTGTATGTAGAACAAATAGTAGATTTCAATTGTTTTCTTAAAAAACTTGTGACTCTCTTTTTTGAGGGTAACACCAGGTAAATTAGGTACAATTTGTTTTAATTTTTCTAATTTTATGTAAATTTTTTTCAAAGCAACCTGCGATGGTTTCAGGCCGCCCAGGTTAAGTAAATTAGTTTAAGTTTTTTTATTTTCATTGCAATACTGGACTATTTTAACATGCGCACTTATGTTCTGCACTATTTTGTCCTGCGCTATTTTGTCCTTGCGCTATTTTGTCTTGCGCTATTTTGTCCCTCAACTATTTTGTCTTGCGCTATTTTGTCCTTTCACTATTTTGTCTTTGCGCTTTTTGTCCTGCGCTATTTTGTCTGCGCCATTTTGTCCTACGCTGTTTTGTCATGGATCCATCTAAACCACATGTAATCATTGATTTATCTAGTAATTTTCTTTAAAACTAAACATATTTATATGTTTTCTTTCCGTTACAACTCCTACAACTAACATTTCTGTATTCGATCATATTAAAACTTGACCCGGTCCTGTCCGAAAATCTATCAATTCTCGAAACACCTCTTAATTTTTGAATTCTTCCTTTTCATCATGACCTCGCAATGCTAATTCTAATGCACCACAAAATCTATTACAGTTAATAATGATATTTAAAATATGTTTATAGTAATTTCTTCAGAATTTTCAGACAATAAATATCTCAAATTCTGTTTATTAATTTTGTAGGTGCATCTTTAAAAACCCTAAAGAGTACTATTCAAATATTTATTTTATTTAGGTTTTTCAAGGGTAGTTTGATAGAAGTTAAATTTGACACTAGTTCAAAATTTTAAAAATTTACTACAAGGAATCCAAAAATCAGGTCATATTTTTTTAGACTTATTCATTATTCTTCCCATTATCCTACATGGTTACTTGCTTACTTATTTTTTTACCCATTTATCACTTTGTACGTTATTTCATTAACATTTATGATATCTGGTATGGAGGTAGAAAATTCCAAGAATAATATAGATTTAACCTAATGCAAGAAGATAATTTCAAATTAAATTGAGTATCTGTATGTAGTTTCTTTTGGTTTCAGGAAAAAGCCTTGGAAGGATATTGTCAGAAAGTCCAAGAATTTTGCCCGAAAAATCCGGGTCCACAAGGTCCTCCAGGATTGAAAGGCGAACCAGGACAACAAGGACTAAGAGGGTTTCCTGGAATTCCTGGTGACATGGGTATTTCTTTTTTGATACGTTTGTTTAAAATTTTTAAATTAATAACTTTTTTGTGTACCTACTCAAAACAAATGAAGATTTTTGTGATACATTAATGCTCTATCATGGTGTCCTCTTTATTTAAGGTCCTTGAATTTGTTGGTAATTTCTATTATCTATTATTATATTTTCTGTATAAATTTATACTTTTTATTTTCTCTTTATGTTATTTTTATTCATTTTATTTTAATTTTGTTTTATTTTGTTTAATTTTTTTTTAGGTAATAGAGGGTTTACAGGTCCAAAGGGCCAGACTGGATCTAAAGGTTTGTTTACTTCAAGTTTTTTTTATACCAATTTAATTTTATAATTTATTTTGAATATCTGCTTCATTTACTTTTAATTTTATTATTTTTAATTTATATTTATTTTTTAACAATATTTTAGGTTCTATTGGTCCACCAGGATTAAAAGGACTAAAAGGGGACAGGGGAGAAGATGGTTTGTTTTAGTTAATTATTTTTAGTTTATTTTTTTATTTCTGTTTTTGTCTCAATAAATACACCTTATCTACTGATTTAAAAAAAAAAATTTTCTCTCTCTCTTATCTTCACTCCAACCACAACTTATGTTGGCTGCAACAATTTCTCTCTCTGTCATCGTTGCTTTAAACAACTGTCATCAAGTCTCATAGTCATTAACACGAAGTATAGATACCAGGAGTCCTAACGTAATGTTGAATGAATGGCATCAATTTGGGGGACAGAATTTTTGCCGGTAGGGCGCACCACTTTTGAAAAAGTACTCGTTTAATTAATTATTATTTGAAAATTAAACAAATTTATTAATCAAGTATTTGTTAAAAACAAATTTTTAATATTATTTAGAGGTTACTTACTTTCGGTGCTTTGAATAAAGCCACTTTTCCTAAATTCTCATTTGCCTTTCGGTACGTCCTGAATATTTGCGCAGCCAGTGGTAGAAAAAAAAACTAAGATCTGGGTTTAATATTTGGATACATGGATCCTACAAAAAAGCCTATACCGTTCGGACTCCTGGTATCTATACTTCGTGGTCATTAATAACAAATGTTGGTGTTGGTTGCATGGTTGATTGAGTGAGTAACATATAATCATGGAGGTTAACTCCATGCATATAATGTTTAATTGAGTAATTAAAACTGTAGAATATTTTGAATTAGTTATACCATAAACGTTAACAAAACTAAAAGTTAACAGTTTCTGTCTTTTCTTCTGACAGAACAGTTAGAATATTCAAATCAGAACTGACAACTTAACAAAACTAAAGATACTAATTTCCTGTCTTTAATATTGGTTGCCTAATAATAGGTAATAAAAACACTAAACATTTGGTCATTTTAAGAGGAAGTAACATTTGCACATGATTAATAGAGACCATTATAAACTAAAACTTTTGCAGGTGCTCCTGGTTTCCCGGGAGAAAAAGGAGAACAAGGCCGGGCTGGATTGGATGGTTTGAATGGTTTACCGGGCGAACCAGGACTCTACGGACGTCCAGGAAGAAACGGCTATGATGGGGCGCCTGGAAAGGACGGCATACCAGGAAGAGATGGCAAAGATGGCGTAAACGGTACTTGCATTTATTTTATGTAAAAATCAAGCCGTACAGTTAATTTTAAAATATTAAATAAATGTATGTTTGTTATAGGGATAAAAGGAGAAAGAGGATCCATCGGACCTGTAGGTCCCAAGGGATCTGTCGGACTACCAGGACCTCGAGGAAGGCCTGGTAAACCTGGCATGCATGGTACGCCTGGTATTCCTGGGATACAAGCATGGAAGATTATGGATAAGCAGAATTCTTCAAAGTTTCTTATACCGCCATCTATTGCAGGTAGAAATATTTTTTCTTTTAAATATAGTTTGAATGTAGGAGATAAGAGAAGTATTTGAATAATTTACTGCCAATGTAGCATAAACACAGGATAAAGAACACTTCTGTGGCATAAATAAGTATTGATAGTTTCTAAAGTTGCGTCTCTATTTACAATGACGGTTGTCAAGATGATGATCCAACTTTCCATTTTACTCTGCTCAAATTTTTTTACGAAAGATAAAGAGGTCAAAAATTATTTAAAAATTACTAACGATGTAGGATTTGCAACTTTTTTCAAGTTTTCCACATGAGTCTAGAATTAATTTTTTGTTCAATATATTGTTTGTTTGGTATTTCTTGTAAGAATTACAGCAGTATTTGTTTTAATCTTATCTGATTGCCAATCAACATCAGGCAGTGTTGAATAAAATTATTGTAAGTTAAGTTATTTCAAAAATTGTTCTCTTAATATCAGTATTAAGGTCACAGTTTAGTAGCACACTCCAATATTCGTAAGACGAACTAATTTTCTGTCATTTATGTGCCATAATTAAGAATCCTTTTGTTCAACAGATGTAGCAGTATTCCATATTTAATAGTTATTATGTTTAAAAAATGGCGTAATAATTCTAATTATTATTTATTCGGTCCAGTTTGGATATCTAATCGAGTTGGCAACACTGTTCAGTTAAACCGTAACCGTGAAAAAATAATTTCAGGCCACTGTCCCCATCCTCCCCCCTCCACAATAGGAAACGAGATTCTTGACTGTGTAAAATATTTTGCAGATAAATAATAGTTTTTAGATCTAGGTTACGGACTTCTGGATATCTGTATATTCATTCTCTTAGTCGTTCATTGTGTCCAGTCAAAGAGCAAAGGTATTGATAGGTATTTGCGTTTTGTTTGTGATCAATGATCATTGGAAATTGTTTTATTCCCAGATTTGATTTAGTTTTCGATTTTTTGTGTAATAATAATATAGCTCTTAAAGCCAAAGAATCAATTTTGGAACATTAAATAAAAGCATTTTATTACTTTATATACCAACAATACTTTATTTAGATCTGCATCAGTAATAGTATATTACATTACGAGTGTGTGAAAAATCACTTATATAAGTACTTTTCCTTCGACCACAAAATTATTTTATCAAAAAAATGTAAAACCAGGAAACCTGGCTATAAAGGTTCAATCAAAATGTGGCTGGGTTGATTTGTTTTTTATATTCCATATAAAATAATTTTTAAAGTAGTTTACCTATTGTGTTTTATCTAATTTAAAACGTGATTTCATTTACACAGATTTTCATAGGATAATAACAGTAAAATAACGTTAGGTATAAAAGAAATATTAGAATACAATGTTTTTCATTAGTTAATTTTTTTAAATACAATAAATAATAATATGAACAACCGTGAACACGAACTTTTTTAGATAATTACCGAAAAGATTAACTGTAGATGTTATATTAAGATAAATAAAACATTCCTTATTTAAAATAAATAACATTGGTAGTAAATTATCAATTTTCATATTTTTCCAAAATAAAAAAAAGACGTGGGGGGATTGAACCATCGTCGTGATGTGCATGTTGCATCTGTTGTTCTGTTTGTATTCCTAATTAATTTTTTTGTGGCATTTTCATTCTGAAAAATACAAAGTTACAACCTATGGGGAGCAGTGGATCATAATCCGATTGAACTTTTGCCACCAAACTATATCAGCTAAACCTAAAATACAAACTAATTTCTTATTAACACTATTAAACTAATATAACTAACATAAAAAAACTTTATATTTTCCACCACGGCTTATGTAAACATGAAAAGACTTGCCAACATAAAAAACCTTATCTTAAAACAACGAACATGGCCCAGCACATCTACACTCATCGACAGCTCAATGAACACTAAATTAAAAACTGAAGGGTCCGATTCAGAGTTGCCAACTTTTTAAATTCCATTTTTCTACGCCTATGTCAGTAAACGTTAAAAATCGAACTATCAACATTCCTTGTAAGTGACATTTAACAATAACATGCACGTAATGAGGTCTCATAACATACACGTGCGTTTTGATAAGAAAACTTAAATTTCTTGGTTTAATTAAATTGCAATCAAATTTTTGTCTACGTACGACTTTATTTGGTCTATTTACATAAATTTAGTCATTTAAAAAACATAAAAACTTTTAGCATTAGTGAGATATATTTTGGATTAAAAGAGTGATGCCCCTAAATGTCGGCAATATTGTATAATATGTTGCCGACATATTTCAAAAAATATGTCGCGTTTTCTTAGCATGCTATGGAAATAAACGTCATGCTATTTATATTGTCAATTTTTGTAACAAAATATGATTGTATACGAACATTTTCTCAACTTTACCTACGAATATGTTTGTTAGCAGTAAAAGTGATAAAATTATGAGCATTCCACCGGAGATTTTAGAAAAAGCTTAAGCTGCCACACATAATTTGTTACCGCTAAAATGCAAAGAAAGGTACGAAATTACCTATCGAAAATTTATGGATTGGCGTCACAAGCATAACATTAAATCCTTTTTTGAGAATGTTTTTAGTGGGCGTAGAAAAAGTATAGTACGTTATACGAGTTGTAAGCCCATTACGCACTGGTGCGTAAACTTTTTCACTTGGTGCGTAATGAATTACTTACAACTCTTGTTACGTAATATACTATTACCGTACCATACAATTCAAATTACCGTACATGGCCTCCCAATACCGTACACTTTTGTAGAAAAACTATGTATAAATATCTTTTTATCGAGCTTCTAAAAAAAGGGTCTTCATAATCAACCCCTGGTCCTTTTACCTAGCTTCTAAAAAAAAGCCTCAACTTAAATTTTTATAAAAACCAGGACCTTTTAAAGAACATGTGCTATAAAAAGATTAAAATGACATTTTTACATTAGACAATGTCATTTTAATCTTCATTTAGTAATTTAAACCTCGTTTAACACAACGGTGGAATCGGCCCTTACACAACTCAAAGTCTTTGCTAATTCTGTTCAAAATACCGTAGGTTTACGGTACTTTTTATGTAAATAGCGTACTCTTATGTACGGCATTGACTTTGGACCGTATACCGTACATTAATCGAAATTACCGTACAAGTACGGTAATTACCGTACGGTTGGCAACCATGGTCCGGTTAGACTTTGATTTTTGTAATAGAGTGAAATGCTTCACTGGCCTCAAAAGAAATATGGCAACTGATTCACTGTGACGCTTGATCCACTGTATCCCTCTCTCCCCTACTATTTTCAATTATTAATAATAACAATTATGTGTGCATTTTCGGTCAATCAATGAGAAAAATCAGTATTTTTTAAATAATAATAACTAGCCACAAATTAAACAAGAAATTAATAAAAACCCATTTAAAATACGTTGACTGCCGAAGCAAATTTCGTAGTCGGGTCTGCTGAGCTGAAGTAGTTTTTCTAATTTAAGTTTATTTTTACGTTTTAAGAGTAAATTAGTTTAAGAGTTAATACTTATGTAAACTACAATATCCAATAGAACTGTGAATCAAATATTATTCAAATTATTACACTCATACGTGGTGCGCATATATTTTATTCACGTCTTAAAAGCAGGTAATAAAAGACGGCCCTGTAATCAATAACTTAATTTTTTTTGTTTGTGCACATTCTGTGCCAATCTATGTAGAAAATATTTTTGTTGGTAAAAAAATCTGTTTTTGTTGGTAGATAAATCTAGTTTTGTTGGTGGAAAAACTATTTTTTGTTGTCACAATAATTTTTTATAGAAAGTGAAAAATATTTTTTCTTTTGCTTAATATAACCTGCAAAATGAATTTAGTACAGTTATTTTCTTTTATTTATTTGTTTAGTTAGTTATTTATAGGAAAAAAATACTTTATGAACGGAAATAAAATGTTGTCACATATATTTATGCAACAGAAAACGTAAATAGGAAGATATTACCAGACCAACTTAAATATTTTTAATTCCACGCCTATTCAATAGTTTAAAATTCACGGTACATGTGCATATTTTATCTATACGTAGCCTAAAATCAAGCGCTGTTTGTGAATAATATATATGCATATTGCGCGATGGAAAAGTTGGGTGTGCATAATATATATATACACATGGCAGTCAACGTGTTGACTCAAAAAGAAAAGCTTCCTAATAAAAGTAAAATAACATTCAGTCGAAGAAATCTAAGTCACGCAATCTAATAATAATTATTACGTGCGCACCATACAGTGTTGCCAGGTCATTCGGATCCAAATTACACAGGAATACACTAAAGTTTCGTCCCTTTCCTGCATTTCACCCACTTTAAAATGAAATTTGTCGGAATTATTGATATCTTGCGGAGTCTGAATCAAATTATTGAAGGAATTGTAAATTATCGTAAGTACCATTACAATAGTATATTGTATAGTACACCAAAATTATCATATAAAACGATAATTATTGTACATCTGGCAACGTGACAATACCTGTATCATACATGGAGAAAATAAATGGATAATTGTGGAAATAATTGGAATGACGCGATATAAATATATCTAAATCATGAGAGAATAAAGGACAGCATACAGCTGTAACCGATTCTAAAATAGGTACCTCTAAACCAGGGCTGCTCAACTCAGATTTTCAAAGGGCCAGATTTGAAAAACCGTAACTGTACGAGGGCCTCCAAGAGAGGCCTGAGCCTACAATAGTCGGTTCAGATTTCTAAAAAAAAAAAACGTCCGCCTAAATGCAAGTTTATTACTATTACTGAAAAATGTATAATTTGACGTAGGCGGGCCAAACTGGTCAACGGTCAGCGGGCCGCCAAAACGACACTGGGCCGTATGTTGTGCACCCCTACTCTAAACAATCATCCGCCTACTTAAACCATTTCTAAAACAGAGTAGCAACATTGTTTTTATTTGGTTACAGTGACTTTATAAATATTAATTTAGTCACTGTATATATGGTAATCTTTCTGTGATATCTACTTAAAAATGGAT